TTATCATATTTTTGCCTCAGCATTGTCTGGTTGCATTCGTGCTGCTCTATTTAAGTACACCCTGAATTACATCCCAAATTTTTTACAAATATCTCTATATAAATATAGAACTTACATACAACGCCTATAAATAACCTTAAATTTTTTTTTTACATTTCTACGGGGTATTAACATATGTTCATTTTTATACAAGTGTACATTTGAAACCTACAGTAAGTTATTTATGTTAATGTTTCCAGTGTTTTATTTAATCGCTTTCCAAACGGCAGTGATTGTGAAACAGACGGATGAAATATCTCTCCAATCTCGCCGCACTATCAACATCAACAACTGTAGAAATCACTTGGAAGGATACATTTACAATTTTCTCGATAAAAAATGATAACGTTTAAATTGAAGACAGGAACATTTAGTAAAACGTAATTCTACTCTGTACCCGTACAGGTGTACCCATCAACTCGGAAAAGGTTTTTCTTTGTTTTTATTCATTTAGAATGTAACTAATGACTTACGTACTGCGTCTGACGAGTTGAGAAACGACGAAGTCTGCGAGGGCAGCAGTACTTACCTGAAACAAAAAAAAAGATGCATTTTAATTCACGTTTAATACCGAGGTGTGTTATTACACTAGTCGAAATAAAGGTTACAGGCAGGTAATACACTCAGACAACAGTTTAATTGTAATAAAGTTAATGTATTGAAAAAAGAAGAGTACACAAGAGGTGGTAAAATAATCAAGTAGAGTATTACACTAAAACAAAGTTAAAATATAGTATCACCAATATTTTCTTTCATTGGTATTATACAGACAGCAATTCTGCAGTGCCTCATTCTGCGACTTAGATGGCAGTGCCGAAAACGGCCAATGTTAGCGGTTTGATAGTTTGATTATTATAAATCTACAACACACTAGATTTAATTGCAACGAAAACCAAGTAAATAACTCTCTCTTCTACATACGACAATTTGTTGCGGGTTGCCTAAATATGTGACCTCACACTAAAAGAGCCTATTACTAAAAAGGTGATTAAGATTTTTTTAAATTCAAAATAAAAATTTCTAAAGGTTAACCCATAATGGAGAATAGACTTCTTTGAAATAAATTACAATAAAGTGACTTCTTTGTCTACATTCAAATGCACTGTTTGTTTGTTAAATGAAACACAACCCGTGTTACTTGGATGAGACACTTTTTTCGGTGTATCTTCATAATAAATTCGGTATAAAATCTAGGCCCCGCTTTCCATCTTATTGAATCTAGCAACCGGGGCGATCCCCTTAAGAATAATCGAATGGAAAATGGAAATATTTATGCAGGTGGGGTCGCGAAGTGTCTTTATTATTTAGGACTGGGAGGCGCATTTATCTAGACGTTGATTAATGGTCTTCTCGGAGAGTACGAACGAACGGCTACGCCGACGAGGCGGCCGCGCTAAGTGTTTTGTATTCCCCGTAAGAGTTAATAGAAATATATTTTTCATGTTTCCCGGTAATTCCATTTGTAAGCTGCGACTGACGGTTTAATTCGTTGGGAACTCAACGGGGTGTCACTTTCTCGACAATGAAATGTGGATTAATCCCGCCTTGTTCGTATCGGCACTCTCGGTATACAGGGTGTCCCAGATACAATGGATCTGCGTCAGTATATCAGTTGAACAATGAATGTTTTGTTTATTTTGATGTACACTATCGCTTTCAAAACTGTATGTAGAAGCCCTGTAAGGGCTTCTAACATAGCTCCGCTGTATATTTCAAGTCCTTTCCCGCTTATGTCCGGCGACAGAAGCAGTCAGCTCATTATACCGAGTGATTTAATCACGGGAATTGTCCTCCGGAGGATCCAGGATCGCCGGCGGGTAGGACCCGTCCATCTATCGCGATCGTTCAGACTGACGTCGTCCTTATACGGGCCGCGTTTCCTCAACAAAGGGATCCGGTCTCGGGAGACGCCGTAAATAAGTGTCCATTGCAAAATTATATGATGGGCCTGGTTTACGTCAACTGCATTCGACTTGTGGGAACAGTCGAGGAGTTCGATTTCGCGTGGGCAGCTTTGTTTGAATAATACGTCCGGGGTACGATAGGCGGGGACGTGTTTGTAAAAGCTTGAGAAATGTTTGTTTTTAAATTTCTGTATCCGCAAATATCTCATCTGATAATTATCTAGATAGCAAGTCAACTTAATAAATATTATTTCTAATATATTGTCCACATAATTATTTGCTTGTGACAAATTTTAACCCTTACTTGAAAAAATAAATTTAACAGAATATAAATAGCTACATATATATAAACCAGAATATAAATAACTTTTTTATTTTCCGGTTTGCAAAGTAAAAGAAGAAGAAGAAGAAGTAGTAGTAGTAGTAGATTTTGTAGTTTTTTGATTTTTGAATGTTCGGATTTTTTAATTTTTGGATTTTTTGATATTTGAATTTTTGAATTTTTAAAAAAATGGATTTTTGAAATTTTGAATTGTTGGATTTTTGATCTTTTAATTTTTGGAGTTAAAATATTTGAAATTTAGATTTTTTTAATATTTGGATTTTTTAATTTCTGGAGTTGAAATTTTTGAAATTTAGAATTTTTGAATTTTTATTTTGAAATTTTAATTTTTTGAATTTTTGATTTTTTGATATTTTGAATTTTTGATACTTTGAATTTTTGAAGATTTGAATTTTTGGATTTTTGAATATTTGGATTTTTGATTTTTGAAATTTTAGGATTTTATTTTTGGAGTCTAAAATTTTTGAATATTTGGATTTTTGGATATTTGAAAGTTTGGATTTTTGATTTTTGAAATCTTTGAATTTCTGGATTTTTGGATATTTGAAATTTTGGATTTTTTAATTATTGGATATTTGAATTATTGGATTTTTGTATTCTTTAAAATTTGAATTTTTGGATTTTTCAATTTTTGAAATGTTGAATTTTTGAATTGAAATTTTTGGATTTTTTATTTCTGGTTTTAAAATTTTTAATTTTTGAAATTTTGAATTTTTGGATTTTTTAATTTGATTTAATTTATGGAAATGTGAAATTTTGTATTTTTGTATTTTTTAAATTTAGAATATATGGGATTTTTCAATTTTTGAACTGTTGAATTTTTGATTTTTTAAATTTTTGGATTTTTTATTTCTGGTTTTAAAATTTTTAAAATTTGAAATTTAGAAATTTTTAAATTTTGGATTTTTTAATTTTTGATTTTTTAATTTTTGGAAATTTGAAATTTTGTATTTTTGTAATTTTTAAATTTTGAATATATGGATTTTTCAATTTTAGAATTGTTGAATTTTTGAATTTTTAAATTTTTGGATTTTTTATTTCTGGATTTAAAATTTTTAAAATTTGAATTTTTGATATTTTTAATTTAGGAATTTTTAATATTTGGATTTTTAAATTTTTGGAAATTTGAAATTTTGGATTTTTGTATATTTTAAATTTTGAATTTTTGGATTTTTGAATTGATGAATTTTTGAAATTTTTGGAATTTTTAATTTCTGGTTTAAAAATTTTTAATTGAATTTTTGAATGTGAATTTTTGGATTTTTTAAATTTTGGATATTTTAATTTTTGAATATTTTGAATTTTGAAATTTTTGAATATTTGGATTTTTTGTTATGGAGATTTAAATTTTTGAATTCTTGGATTTTTGAATTTTTGGAAATTTGAAACTGGATATTTTAATATTTGGATATTTGAATTTTTGGATTTGAAATTTTGGATTTTTGATATTTTTGAATTTTTGGATATTTAGTTTTGGATATTTGAATTTTTGTAATTTTTAAATTATGAATTTTTGGTATTTTGGATTGTTGAATTTTTGATTTTTGAAATTTTTGGATTTTTTAATTTCTAGTTTGAAAATTTTTAAAATTTGAATTTTTGATATTTTGAATTTTTGGATTTTTGAAATTTTTGGATTTTTTAATTTTTGAATTTTTTGATATTTGAAAGTTTTGAATTTTTGGATATTTGAAATTTTGGAAATTTGAATTTTTGGATTTTTGAAATTTTAAATTTTTGTTTTTTAATTTTAAATTTTTTAAGTTTTGGAGTCCTCATGAAGGTGGGATAAGAAAACTACTAGCATGGTGTGAAACTTCTATATTCAAACATTCAAACATCTATTACACAGTATGTTTGTAGGCTTCCGTGACTGTCGTTAATGGTTGAATGATTTCCAGGCTGGTTGTCACGTCGTCGATATACAACTCTTGACGTTTCGAGAGACATATCAGAGTAACTTCTGAAGAAACGTCAAGAGTTGTAAATCGACGATGTGGCAACTAGCCCAGAAATCATTCAACCAACTATTACACAGTAATCACATTCAGATAAATATCACAAATTGGAGAATTCCCCACAACATTTTTATTCACGTATCCTCCAAAATAGTCCTAAGGCCATGGGACCGGTACTAATAACATTTTCATCATAGTCCTGAAAAGAAAGGAAATTTATAATTGTTACTCTTAAACTTAGTAGTTAGTTCTTAGTTCTTCACCGGTCGTACGAATTTTCACCGCCTTCGATAGATGACATTGATTGTATATGATTTATCGAAGTGGTGTGTACTCGGTACCACCCAAGCCGTGCGACGATGAAAAACACTATAATGCGTGTTGGGTCTTAACCAGCGACATACTTGCAGTAGTGCCTCGCGGCGTGGCGATTTTACAATTTTTTACGGCCGTCGGCATACCTATCACTGATAGCATCATAAACGTATTCGTCGCAAATACGAACGACGTTCAAGAAGATTTTCGGCATCGTTACTGGGGCACTCCCGCAAGTATGTCGTTGTCCTTAGTATCAGTCACTATTGAGCACTGTGTATATTTTTATACTGTCAGAAAATCCCCGATAGCCTCTCCGTTTCAGAGATTCATATCATATTTAAAATATTAGATATGTTTAAAAGTAATATACAGTGTTCGTTTTTATAAAAGCAATTCGAAAACCAACCAGTGATAACTTTATTAATTATATTGTTGCAGAAGGAGCCAAAGCAAATCAGACAAAGCCGATTCCGCAGAGACACCCTACAGAGTGATCGGACGTCAACCCTCGGACGGTGCGAAATTGTCTGAAGGAACCCCGAACCAGCTTCAGAAGTTAACACTTCACCCGTTCAATACGACACACTATGATCTGCCCTTAAAAGCAAAAAAATAAAGTATTGACTATAAATAATCTGTTTTTATGAGCTTTGGCTCTCACCTGAATTACGCTTAGTGATGGAATTTGAGAAAACAAACCTATGACACGAGCTTCTAAAGATCAACCCCATTCAAAGTTTCGCCCTGTAATCCTACTAATTTTCGAAAGTTAAGTCACTCTATATAATAGCACTATCTAACTATTACATCAGTCCCACTCGTGTACCACGATCGACTGAATGAATGCGCGTCCACGGAGGAAACTATTAAATTCCGATACTCTCATCTCCGACGTGGGCCTTTCGAGCGTCAAAAGTCCTCCTCGTGACCAGACAAGTGTTTTATATGCTAACCGCTCACTTTTTATCTGAAACATCTCGAGAAAACCCGGCAAACATAAACAACTTAATTTTTGTAGCGGATAACTGCACCGCCTCCACCTGGAGCGCCTCCTCTACGTGTGTACGTCGACCGCCCGCGGAAACCGTCCGACACGAAACAATCGAACAGCGCCTTAAGAAGATCCGGCTCACCTGTCGGATTTCCAAAGAGAGAGGTTGTCGATTATGCAGATCGCGTCCCCAATTTTTACGATTTCGATTGTCGTTGTGTGTGGTAAGCTTTACAGAGCAAAGAAAAAAATATACATACTCGTACATTTATATACAAACACGGTCATTTAAACCGTTAGACGTTAGTTCTAACTTTTCCGAGGTGTTAGAGCCATCCACTTTAGTTTTTATTTGACAATCTCGGCAAAATCGCACAGAAAATTAATATATAGCCGACGTTAGTCTACTTCATCTGGTCCCTGCATCATTATGCAAATTTTATGGCACATATAAAAAGATTTCCGACAGCCGGGATTTATGGTCATGCATTTAATATCATTCGCTATGCAAATTCTCGGAAACCAGCGGATTCCTTGCATTTTAAACAAAAACGAAGGCGTCTACCGAATCTCGTATGCCTACCAGCGAAGTTCTATGCAAAAGAAAGTTTTTCCGGCTCCAAAAACGCAGTCAACTATGAAATTTACCGGGAAACAGTCGCAATATAATATTTGTACAGTCACTAATCGAACAAAACAATTGATAAATATAAAATACTGAGTCAGTGACGAAATCTGTATATTGTCTTCCTATAATTTTGTGTATTTTAGTTATTTCAAACAGAACAATTTAAAAAAGGTTGTTTTTTTCTACCTCATGATTTAATTCAGCAGGAGGATGAATTTAAGGGTCGCATCATGAGGTATAAAATAGAATGGAATTGCCTCCTGGCCGGTTGAAAATATAAAACTGCGATATATGCGGCATAAAAGATCAGTGACCACAATTTTTATTTACCCTCATAAAACTTCGAAGGCTTAGAAAAAGGCGTCTGAAATTATTACTTGATTTCCCCTGATAGTTATCGCCTTGTGTATAAAAACTTTCTATGGGGTTGAACGCTGGCTCAACATCGGCATAGTTGGCGCTGGAAAATTCACCCCTCCCGCTCGACAGACGACGCGATAAAAGTAATAATAAAGTACTGGTACGAGTTGTGACACGAATAATAACTGAGACCGTTTTTAAAAATAATTCTATACAGCTTTCAAAATATTTCGAAGTGTTTGTGGTATTTCAATGTTGCTCTGGTAATCCGTATGTTTTGAAATACACTAATGCAAAGAATTAGGGTCAAAAGAATTTCCGAAAATTTTTCCATGATTTTGTGACATTTTGCAGCTCTAAGATTCTAGTCTTTAGATTTTTCGGCCGAAATTTTTTAGAAGCCAAGGTTATCATGCAATTCTAAGAAATAGCGCGACAAAAATTTTTTACAAATTTTCTTTTAGACCGAAAGATCTAAAAACTAGAATCTTAGAGCTTCAAAATGTTTTTTTTAATTCCCGATACGACCATTTTCCACCTAAATACAGACTGTCAAAAATAAAAGAAAAATTTCGGAAATTCCTTTGACCCTTTAATTGTTTACATTAGTCTATTTCCAAATGGTTTCATGTGTTTTGAAGTGTGTATGTACAGGTTTCGCGATCTTGTATCTATTCTCCTGATGTACATTATTCATTCCACCAGAAGAACTAAATTAATACGAAATTCTTTCTTATCAGGATATTTACGGCTTTTATATTGAAATCGGCAAGTCTCGTATCTGTCACCCCGCAGGATCTGGGATCCATTTCCTCTAAGAAAACGCCAGATATTAATCAACCGGTCATAAAAAATTTATGTCCGAACTATATCATCCCTAAGTAGCTGTCATAATCTGGGACGATGCAAAAAAACGCCAGTCCATAATGCCGGGCGGGCGTGATATAAGTCAGCCGGAGTAGGACGACATCCAATAAAATGCACATAAAATGAGTCGGGAATATCATTATTATTATATTTATTGCGGCGTCGCAGGCGCGCATATTTCTCTAGCGGTGATTTCTATCGATAATGGGCATGTTTGCGCGGTCTGAAATATATTAAGGTTTACCTTTTCGCTTCGAGAGCGCCAGCTTCATGTGGAAAATTTATTTGAGCACCAGAGTGTTTTTAGTAGTGTATTTCCTTCCTTAATCTTCAAATGTCATACTAGTGCGAATTCGCACCACCGTTTTTTTTAACAGCTGTTGAAAATTTTACGCCAGTTTTGATATAAATGTTATTTTCGTTAACAAATCTGAGATTCAAAGTTGACAAAACCCCAATTCGCACTAGTGTGACCTTTGAGGGTTAATAAAGTCATATTTTTTCGATACTTGTCTAAGATGTATGTGCAAAAGGTCATTCTTTCGAACGACTTGGTGCATGAGCCAAACAAATGACGAAATGGTAGAAGCAGGAGTATTACCCGTGTTGCTGATATTCTCATGGACTGTTCTAGTTTATAATACGCGTAGTTCCAGGCCATTGCGGCATTGAAGAAACGATATCCTGCAATTTTCGTGAGCTACCGACACTCGATACTTATGCACGCAGTACCCATACCATTAAAACGCGAACTAATTGCCGTACTTCAAACAAAACGCATCTGCGGCATTATTTTTAGTAATAAGTGCCTTCGCGTTTATTGAACTGCTTATTTAATACACGTTTCGAAGCAGTATTTACAGTACGTCGCGCAAAATTTACGGTTATGGCGATTTTCACACTTTTTTCGCCGCCTGATTTATTGATTCTGGTGGGCCCCCCGGGGTCAGCACATAAACACAGCCTTAAACACATAACGTGAAATTTGCTAATTATTTTTTTATGAACGTCATAACGAACATCCTCGGAAAGCGTCGTGGCAGGTTTATTTATCGCGAACGTTACGAGGTTCGCAACCTTGTCTCCGTTTCCCCTCAATCATTTAACTCCTGCAGTTGAGCGTCCTGCTGGGAAAAATATCAGTCAGGTGGTTTAAATTAAATCTGGACGGACAGGTTTTAGAGCTGTATTTGTTGTTCGCAAGAGAATTTATCAGGAAACATATTTTTTCTAATTAGCAAAATTAAAAAAAGACTTATTGCACAGTCATTGAAGCTGAAAATCAGCTGTAACCTCCGAATCAGTGGCGTACACAGCTTTTTTTTAAGGGGGGGGGGGTTACACTTTGCAGTAAGATTTTCGCGGCACGAAACTAGAGCACAGGGAAGCAGACGAAACTAAAAAGCGACGTTGCAACGTTTAGTCCGATTCAAGTACGATACTGGAAACAACAAAATATATACGGCAATAGGAAGTTTTAATAGGTATATAATTATTGTTAAAAGTTAAAGCTCATAGGGGGGGGGGTGGTGGACCCCCCCCACCCCCCCCCCCCGTGTGTACGCCACTGCTCCGAATTCTTTGAAACTGCATGGATTTGCATGAAAATTTAGAATAAGGCTCATCTTAGGCTCAAGTTCAAAAGTGACATAAGCCCGATTGACGCTTTTTGTTTTTTAGGGGTAAAAACTACCCCTAAGTGAAAAACATTGAAAAAATTAAGTTTTAAGCATTTTATTGATAAAAATCTTGTTCAAGCACAAAGATTAAATAATGTTTCATGTTCTCGAATATGTTTTATGATATATTTGATCTTTTCGACCCTTTATTTAAGCTTAAAAACTACCCTTATGCAAAAAATAATGATAAAAAATTACATTTTAAAGATTTTAAATGATTAAATCGTGCAATTATTTTAAATAAAAGTTACCTTATAGCTAATAAAATAATTTCTCCCTTTCAACCCCTAAAAACCTCCCCCGTATTGACAAAACTGATAAAAAATTACTTTTTAAAAGCTTGGAATGCTTTAACGGTGCAATTATTTAAAATAAATTCCCTCATTGCTTATGAAAGAATTTGTATCTCATAACACTTTTCAACCATTATAAATCACCCCTGTGCTAAAAAAATGATAAAAAATTAAATTTTAAATCTTGGAATGCTATAATTGTGCAATAATTTGAAATAAAAATTCTCTTATATTGTTTATGAAAGAATATTTTACTTTTGCCATTTTCAACTCTTATAAACTACCCTTTTACCGATATTAATGTAAAATATTTTTATTATAATCGATTTTTAAATATAATCAATCATAAAAAAAAAATTGCTACGCTGCATATAAATAATCACACTAAATTTTTTTACTTATTTTATTTGTATAATATTTAAAGGACCCCGCAATAATCTTATGGAAATTGAGTTTCTGTCAAATTGTCTGAATTTTTGATATGTTGTAGATTTTGTCATCCTGAACAAAAGTCTCCATGGGAACAAAGCTACGGAGCTGCCAAAGCTCCCCTGACCCGTTGCAAAACAATTCATTTTCAATACTATTTACAGATGTCAAAAGCATATTTTAATTATTCTAATATATAGGGTAATGTTTTTGAGGTCACTGGATTCAACCCTCATGTCAGATTGGACAAATTGACCGTTGACAGCTGTCAATACACTGTCAACGAAGAATAGAAAAGTAAATATCCTCTTTTCACATTGAGAGTGGGCTTTT